AGTCTTGAAGTGCAGTAGCATCAGTCCTCCAGCTCTGCCCTTGTCCTTTAATATTGTGCTGGCTATTCTGGGTCTTTTGTTTCTCCACATAAACTTTATTCTTTTTTTACTAAAGCATAATTAACATACAATGTTTCAGGTATAAAATGTAATGATTCAATAATTCTATACATTACTCAATGCTTATTAAGGAAGGGTACTCTTGATCTCCTTTATCTACTTCACCCTTACCCCACCCTGCTTCTCCATATAAACTTTATAATCAGTTTGTTGGTATCCATAAAATAACTTGCTGGGATACTTATTTGAATTGCATTGAATCTATACATCAAGTTGGGAAGAACTGACATCTTGATGATAGTGCATTTTCCTATCCATAAGCATAGACTTTCTCTCCATCTATGTGGTTCTTCTCTGATTGCTTTCATCAGAGTTTCGTAGTTTCTCTCATACAGATTTTTTTTTTTTTTAAGATTTTGTTTATTTATTAGAGAAAGTGAGAGAGAGAGAACACAGTGGTGTGCAGGGCAGTGGTAGAAGTAGACTCCCTGCTGAGCAGGGAGCCCAATGTGGGGCTCGATCCCAGAACTCCAGGATCATGATCTAAGCCAAAGGCAGATGCTTATCCAACTGAGCCACCCAGGCACACCCCCCCCCCCATAGAGATCTTATAAGAAAGACTTTTCAAAGTAACATTTTATTCATGATTCTTTTCTTCTCCAACCCTTTTACAGAGTTCTAGGTGCAGCTATTAGATATTTAGGCCAAAGAGAGGTCTCCTGAGTATGCTTTCTCACTCTTTACTTTCACTACTTTTACAAATCACATGAATATCTGTAACATAGTATTTTAGGGATCATGATCACTGTCTCACTTTACTCTCCCAAAATGAAGTATTCTTCCTTCACATCTTCACTTGGCTACAGGACATTTGCTGTTACTTGTATTGCTAGACCTTTGCAAAAATCAGAAATCGTTTTCCTTTCTTTCCTACTCTTGCAATTAAGGTGTGCTACCAACTGGTGGTAATAATATGTCAGGCCTAACTATCAGATGAACCCATGGTTTTTCCATTCCTTTTTTTTTTCTTTTCTTCTTATTCTTTTTTTTTTTTTTTTTTGAAGTAGGTTCCACACAAGGCATGGAGACCAACGACACGAGGCTTAAATTCACAACCCTGGGATCAAGACCTGAACTGAGAGCAAGAGTCGGACACTAAACCAACTGAGCCACCCTGGCACCCTTTCCACTCCTTTTTTAATACTAGAAACACAAGTCCTTCTAAACATGAGCAATCGATTACCAACGTTGGTAATAAGAGAGACCAGAATACCTCCCATTTCAGAATCAGTAACCTGGTTGTAGGCAAAACCTCGTCCCCTCACAATGGAGGATCAGCACTACTCAGACACTTAAAAAAGAAATCTCATAAGCCGAGGGGTAAAACTAGTGTGAATAGGAGCCAAGGATTCTTATACATTCCTTAGGGTAGAGAATAAAATATCAGTAAAATAACCAATTGCTTACTCCAATTTTCTTGGTGTTTTTAGAATTTCCACATCATTGCTTATTTTAAAAGATCTGGAATGAAGCCTGACCCACTTTAGGGAGTCATCCTCAATAGGATAGATGCAAAATAAAATATTGTTTTTATATAAACAGGAAAAAAGAGCATCTATTTTTTCCAGTCAAAGAAATGCACGCATGGCAATAAAAAGAAACTAATTAAATTATAACGGAACATTAGCACAAGAGAATTTATGATGAAAAGCAACAAATATATAACCCTTTCTACTTCTAGGATCAATCCCCAGGGCCAACCTCTTTTACATGTTTTTGTTTGTTTGTGACTGTTTAAGCATTCCTAAATATGCTCATATCAGCTTTACGCAGTCTCTAATGACTCCTGGCTGTAAAAGGTAAGGATTATGCTAACATCCACTTCAGCATTTAATAGTTACATCCATTTTAGCTTTTTTTGTTGGTTATCTTTGAAACTTTTAATAATATACTGTGAAACTCTAGATAATATTTCAACCTTAATTAGAAAGTATTTCAACTCTCCAATTTTACTACTGCCATTCTTTCTTCTCACATTCCACCCACCTCCCTTTAACATAATAGTCAATAAGTCTTTCCTATTCTGTCCTCTGAGTACTCAAAGTTAGCAGCAAACTTCCAAGCTAAGAAGAGTGCCAAAATCACATTTTCTTCTCCACAAAACTTCTGTCAGAACCACTAGAAAGTCAAAGGAAAATGTGCAGAACATGAACATCAAACGGATTCTCTTCCCTTACTATCAACTGCCCAAATATTTATGCTTCATATTTGAGCCACAAACCGCTTATATGGCTTTGTTTTTCCTAGAGTTTCAGATGGCCTCCCTCTCCCAACTGTGTATTTTATCTAATTTTTCATATCAAGTCTTTTCATTTTCTCTACTCTTTTAGAGATTCTCTTTCTTCTGCTCCCTGGTATTGTCCCTAATCATCTAATGAAACTGGGCTTCTGCCTCCCCTTAACCTAATTTTCTTTAACCCTGCTACCCACCTTTCCTTTTCTCTGCTCCATGGTTGGAGCCACTTTTTCTAGAATCCATTTCTACTTTTTTGGCTTATCTTCTTGTTTTTCTGGAGAATATCCTCCATAACTACTTATAAAAGAATCGGAGGAAAACTTTTAGTTAGTTTTTTTTTTTTTCAAGATTTATTTACTTATTTTAGAGAGAGAATGCAAGAGCAGGGGGCAGAGGAGTAAGGGGAGTAAAGGGAGAGAGAGTCTGAAGCAGACTCTGCGCTGAGCACATAGCCTGCCTTGGGGCTCAATCTCATGACCCTGAGATCACAATTTGAGATGAAACCAAGACACGGACTGTGCCACTCACCCTACTTTCAGTCTTTTAACATTTGCAAACATGTTCATTCAGCCTGGTCTGTATACCTGATTTACTTTCCTCAGAACTCTATAGGCATTGTCTGGTGTACTCTAGTGTTCAGTGTTATTAATAAATTGGGTGGAAGTGTAGTCTTATTCTTGATGAATGACTAGTTTCTTAATTCTCTCATCACCAGAAGTTCATACATGTTTAATTTACTTTATTAGCTATAAGTCATCTCTGGGTTAAGGGCGCTTGAGTGGCTCAGTTGATTAAGCAACTGCCTTCAGCTCAGGTCATGATCCTGGAGTCCCAGCATCAAGTCCCACATTGGGCCCCCTGCTAGGCTCTGACCCTCTCCCCTCTCATGCTCGCACGTTCTCTCTCTCAAATAAATAATAAAATAAGTCATCTCTGGGTTGAAATATTTTATGGAAACAAGGGCTCCTAAGTGGCTCAGTTGATTAATGTTCAACTCTTTTTTATTTCGACTTAGGGCTATGAAAGCGAGCCCTGTATGGGCTCTGAGCCATGTATGGAGACTGTCTAAGGTTCTCTATCTCTCCATCTACCACTGCCCCCTCTCCAACTTCCCCCACTCATATCCATTCTCTCTCTCTTTAAACACACACACACACACACACACACACACATTTATGTTTTATATAATGAAAACATACTCAAATCACTTCCTATAATCTTTCAGTGCATGTTTTTTATAATTAATTTATTTCTAAAAAAAAAAAAAAGAACTTTTTAATAGAAATATTATAGGCATGAAACCAATTGAAAAATAGAAGTTATCTGCCTTTCCTTTCCCTTGACACCTTATTTCCCCTTTCCAGAGGCAGACTGTTATCCATTTCCAGAAGTTTTGGACTTTGTCTTTTATCTGAATGTTATGACATTTCTAGGGATAAAAATTTAATAGCAAGCCATCAGGATCAGAATTGCAGATTTTTCTTTCTGAATTAATGTAAGCAATCAATGACTACAAATATCTTGTCGATAACACTTATGTAGACATTCATGGAGCTCCTGCTAGTATATATGGCAGAGAATTGATGTGATTTTTTTGTTTGTTTGTGTTTTGAGCTTTTGTTTGCTTCAGTTTGCTTCGGTTTGGTTTGGTTAGAGTTTTATTGAGGTGTGATGACATATAATAAACTACACAAATTCAAAGTCTGATTTAATGAGCTGTGACACATACATAAACCCACGGAACCATCACCACAATCAGGATAATAAATATATTCATCAACCACAAAAGTTGCCTCATAGCCAGCCCTTTGTAATTCATTTTCCCCTGCCTCACTTATTCATCCCATCCCCAGGCAGCCACTGCTCTGCTTTCTGTCTCCTGGTCTGCTCGCTATCACTATCAGTTCATTGCATTTTCTGGAACTTTATATAGATGGAGTAATACCCTTCTGTACTCTTTTTGTTTTATTTTTTTACTCAGCATAATTGAGATTCAACCATGTTTTTGTGTATATCAATCATGCATTCCTTTTTAGTGCTGCCGTGGTATTGCACTGTATGATTACATTACAATTTATCCACTATCTGCTGATGGATATTTTATACATATTTTTTTGTCTTCTAATAAAGCTGCTGAATACTCAGACACTGTGATTTTGTTTCACTGGATTTGGTCTTTACGTGGACTATAAAAAGACTATGGAGCAAGGACCAGTAATTCAAATACCTACAGGAGTCGGACAGATAACGTAAGTAAGTACCGGAAAGCAGGCGAAACTCAGAACCAACAGTACAAGCCTTATGGTGAATGACAAACTGCCACGTGGCCTCCGCGCCGGGAGGGGTGGACATTATGACTTATGGGGCAGCTCAAAGCCAGTTTAGACTGGCTTAGACAGGTAGCTTATTCTCAGAGCCAACTGTTTCTTGCTATGTTGTCCAAGGCTGTCAGGTTTTCCTCCCACCCCCCCTTTTGCTTGTCTTCAGGAACAGTCACAAAACCAGATTTTATGTAAAGTTTCTTGATTTACTTTTTAAATCTTTAAAATGGCACTATTTTCAGGGCGCCTGGGTGGCTCAGTGGGTTAAAGTGAAATGCTGGATGAGTAATACGCCCACCTTAAAAGACCACCAGAGACGTGAGTCAAAGCCAAGCGGCAAGGGTCGTTTATTGCAGGTTTGAACCCGGACCTCCGCCCACTCGTTGCCGGTGACGCTTAGAGGTCTCGAGCTGGGTAGGTGCAGGGCTTTTACAGACAGGTACAAACAAGTTCTGGGTGGGGCCGAGCCAATTGGTTGACATTTTGAATATTTGAAAAAGGCATATTTGGTGTTAGGTGATTGGTTTAGGGGGCCCGCGCGCACGTTAAGCAATCAAACAGAAGCAGAACTGGTTGGTTAGCCCACGCGCGAAAAGCAAGCGTTCGTACAGAAGCGAAACTAGCTGGTTATTCCCTAGATAGAATATGTTTTCAGTCTGGGTTTCTTTTGGTTTCCCATTCCCCCCTTTCTCAAGTACCTGAGGAGCCAATCTTGGGTCCTTAGTGGTCATTAGTATAATCGTTGTTGTTGCGCAGGTCTAGGGCCTGATACTGCTGTCTTAAGAGCATGACTTGTACTGTCTGGAGGCGTTGATTGACAAAAGCTACCAAACGATTTAAGATACATGGGCCAAAGGTCAGTAAGAGGAGTAAGATACAGAGGGGTCCTAGCAGGGAGGATATCAAGGTAGTCAGCCAAGGGGATGAGTTAAACCATGACTGAAACCAGCCTTGTCCTAATTCCCGCTCCTTTTTCCCGCTTTGCTAATCCTTCCCGTATCTTAGCCATCGAGTCCTTGACTATCCCCGAGTGATCAACATAGAAACAACATTCTTCCTTAAGGGCGGCACATAAGCTTCCTTGTTGGAGGAACAAGAGGTCTAGTCCCCGTCTATTTTGAAGGACCACCTCTGATAATGAGCTGACAGACTCCTGAAGTTTAAAGATGGATAATTCTAGCTCTCGTATGTCTGCATCAATGGCTTCTCGTAAGCCTTGATAATGGTGGTGTTGTGAGATTAAGGCTGAGGCTCCGGTAGCCACCCCAGCAGTTCCTAGCCCTAGGCCCAGTATTAGCGCAAGAGTCAGGCTCACGGGTTCCCTCTTAGTTCTATGTGATCCTCCCTCCCAGTATGAGATCATGTCCTCATAGGAGTGGTAGATTAGGCGAGGGACAAGGTGAACCAGAACACAATAGTCATTGGTTCGGTTCAGCGCTGATGGATGAATGCATGGGGTAATTCCAGTAGCGCAGGCCCACCAGGCATCTTGGGGTGGTATTAGGTATTCATTTGTGGCATTTACAGTTATAGTCTGGTTGCAGAGGTGTGAATGTGCCGGTGGGACCAGCCCTATACAGGTTCCCTTTCCTCTTATGGCCGTCAGTGTTAGGCGATGGTTGTGGCTCAACCACCGGCACACAGAGGCCGAGTTGGAGCTATTATAGCTTCCAGAGATGGCCAGACCCTCATAAAAAGGGGGGGGGACACATCATAGCACAACCAGCAGGATTCTGTAGCGTTAGGATTAGTATAGTTTAGGACTTGAAAGGCATACTGAACCAGTTGGGTTAGACGAGTGTGGGTGTCCACTGGCTTAGGGCTTATGGTGGTTATGGACTGATTTTTGAGGTATGGGGTGAGGTCTGTCGAGGTTGCCCTGGGAGTGGCGGGGCTCTTGCGGGGGCCCTATGTGACAACTGGTGGGGCGACCGAGCGGGACCCAGCCTGAGCGGGGCCTGGGGGTGCGAGAATAGGGTTGGGCCCTACTGCGGCTCTAGGGGTGTCTATGGACAGTTTTATAGTGAAGGTTAGGCCGTCGTCGTAGTGTTCTTTAAAGAATCTGAGGCCCCATGAGTATCCCCTAACCCAATTCAATTGTTTTTTTCCTGCTTCGGTGAAGGAAATTTTTATTGGGTTGCACCATTTGTTCTGGCAAGGACTCTCGGCTCCAACTCTGTTTGATACTACATGGGAGTAATTTGCCTTCACAGTTATAAAATCCCAGGTGGAAGTGGGTTTCCAATAAGTGTCACCAGTGGTTTCGCAACCCCAACTAGAACAGTAGAAATCGCTCACCCCCCCACATTGATATGTTCTTCCCCTCTGTTGAAGGTTCCCGGGACTGGGACATACATAGAAGGTTAGTTTTCTTAACTTATATCGGCGTTGAGGATTTCCACAACCGTAGATTGCGTGACCATGTAACCCTCCGCTGGCAGGTATTGTGGGTGGCTTCTGGAGGTCCCACTGGTCCGCTATGTCCCAGTTTGCTGGGGCCCCCAAGGCTATTTTACAAATGTCAGGGTATAAGTTAGGCCACCATGTGTAGGGAGTGGCAGTGTGTGATATATTCCAAACTGTTAGTCCTACACTATTAATGATCTGCCAGGTTAGAGTGGCTGGGGCATGGGGGTTGGTCATGGGGGTCCAAGGTAATGATAATAAGATCAGAACTGCGAGTAGGTCCCCCATGTCAGTTACTGAGGGGGAGGGTTTCGGCGCAGGGTGAGCTTTAGGGGATTGTCCTTACTGCGGTCAACCGTCCAACTGGCGTCCGGGTTAGGTTTCCCGACGAGATCCGGCAGGGGGTCGACTGGTTTGACGTGAGTGTGGTGGATCCAGGCGGCTATGTTGTCTACTTTAACAGCTGTAGGGGTGGTCAGGATTATCTGGTAAGGCCCTTTCCATCTGGGCTCGAGAGTCTCAGGCCGGTGTCGCTTGACGAGGACCCAATCCCCCGGGCGGAGTTGGTGGGATGCGGGTGGCGGGCCTATCTCGTATAAATCCTTCAGTTTAGGCCAAATTCTTTTGTGGACTTGCTGCAGGGCTTGGAGGGAAAACAAGAGGGAGTTATCCTGGTCCGACTCAATGAGATCGGTCTTGAGTTTGGGTATGATGGGAGGAGGCCTGCCATACTTGATTTCATATGGCGTAAGCCCCAGCTTATATGGGGTGTTACGTACCCGATACAGAGCGTAGGGGAGTAGAACCACCCAGTTAGCGCCAGTTTCCATGGTCAATTTAGCAAGGGTCTCTTTTAAGGTTCTATTCATCCTCTCTACCTGTCCTGAGCTCTGGGGTCTATATGCACAATGTAATTTCCAATCAACCCCAAGTACGGAAGCCAGGCCCTGACTTACCTTAGAGACGGAAGCTGGCCCATTATCTGATCCCATCATAACAGGAAAGCCATACCTGGGCAGAATATCCTCGAGTAGTTTCTTCACTACAACCTGTGCTGTTTCGTGCTTGGTTGGGAAAGCCTCAGTCCACCCTGAAAAGGTATCTACAAACACCAGTAAATACTTATAGCCATATTTTCCAGGCTTTACCTCTGTAAAATCTATCTCCCAGTAGGCCCCCAGCAGGGTCCCTCTTTCTTGGGACCCGATCACAGCGGGATGTGGGTAAGCGTTCTGGAGCCGGCAGGCTGTACAACCTGAGGCAATTTTTTCGGCTTTCTCGGTGATGTTTTTGATGATTAATCTGGATTGTCTCATAAGGTCCTGGAGTCTTCTGGAGCCCAAATGGGTCGTGTGATGAATCCGCTCTAAGACTGCCTGTCCCAAGGCCTCGGGGAGGATGATATTGTCCTTAGCGTCCCGCCACCAACCATCCCTGACCTGAGTCATCGGGAGTTTACTCATCCAGGTGATGTCTTCCTCAGAGTACTCGGGGCGAGGCGGCAGTTCTCGGGGCCCCGGGTTGGGTAGCTGTATGGGTAGCAATGGAACTTTCCCGTAGGCTATCTGGCGAGCAGTCTGGTCAGCAAAATTGTTTCCCCGGGAGACCGGATCGTTTGGTTTCTGATGGCCAGGGCAATGTACTATGGCTAGCTTCTTGGGGGCCCAGATGGCTGTTAGTAGGGCCAAAATTTCGTCCCTGTTTTTGATGTCTTTCCCTTCGGCGGTGAGTAGCCCCCTCTCCCTGTAAATTGCTCCATGAATGTGGGCCGTGGCAAAGGCATATCGGCTGTCTGTGTATACAGTCATCCGGAGGCCTTGTCCCAACTTAAGGGCCTGGGTCAGGGCGATTAACTCAGCCCTCTGTGCTGAGGTGCCCGGAGGCAATGCTTCCGCCCAGATAACTTCTGTTTCAGATGTGACCGCGGCCCCTGCATACCTCTGTTCTTCGTGGACGAAACTGCTGCCATCAGCGAACCAAACGACCTCGGCATCCATCAGGGGGGTAGTCCTGCAGGTCTTCCCTCAGCCCGTGAACCTGGGCTAATATGTCGGCGCAGTCATGGAGGGGGGTGTCTAGGTCCGGGTCAGGTAACAGTGATGCGGGGTTTAGAGCCCGAGGAGGAGTATAGGTTATTCTCAGGGGGTTTAGTAGCAGTCCTTGGTACTGAACCATGCGAGCATTACTCATCCACTGGTCCGGAGGTTGTTTAAGGACGCCCTCAATAGCGTGAGGGGTGGTCACATGTAATTCCTGACCCATTGACAACTTATCAGCGTTTTTTACCATCAAGGCGGTGGCCACTATCATTCGAAGGCAAGGGGGCCACCCTGCTGCCACTGGTCTAATTTCTTTGAGAGATATGCTACGGGTCTAGGCCAGGGGCCTAAGTGTTGGGTCAATACTGCCTTTGCCACCCCATTACGCTCATCCACATATAAGTGGAATGGTTTGGAAATGTCTGGCAGTCCCAGAGCCGGTGCTGAGAGGAGGGCCTCCTTTATCTGCTGGAAGGCTCACTCTGCCTCCTCCATCCATTCAAAGTTCTGCTGGTTCTTGGAGGCTATGTGCAGGGGCTTGGCCATCTCGGCGAAGCCCAGTATCCATAGTCGGCAGTATCCTGCTGTCCCCAGGAACTCCCTTACCTGGTGTGGCAAGGTAGGTCGAGGGATGCGGAGCACAGTGTCCTTGCGGGCATCGGTGAGCCATCTTTGTCCCCCTTTTAGCAAGTATCCCAGGTACACTACCTCAGGCTTGCAAATTTGGGCCTTCTTTGCTGAGGACCGGTACCCCAGGTCACCGAGGGTCCAAAGGAGGTTTTCGGTTCCTTGAAGGCAGGCCTGTTGAGTCTCTGCAGCTATTAAGAGATCATCTACATACTGCAAGAGCATTATATCAGGATTTTGTCTCTTGTACTTACTCAGATCCTCATGGAGGGCCTCATCAAACAGGGTGGGCGAGTTCTTGAATCCCTGCGGGAGACGAGACCATGTCAACTGCCCATTTATGCCTTTCTCAGGGTCTGTCCATTCGAACGCAAAGAGATCTTGGCTTTTGGGCGCCAAGGGCAAACTGAAAAAGGCATCATTCAGGTCGAGAACAGTGTACCATTTCTTGTTAGGCCTCAGGGCACTGAGGAGAGTGTAGGGGTTAGGGACAGTAGGGTGTATGTCCATAACCCACTTGTTAACTTCCCTCAGGTCTTGTACAGGCCGGTAGTCCCCGCTGTTGGGCTTACGTACCGGCAGCAGGGGAGTGTTCCAAGCCGAGTGGCAGGGGCGTAGCACCCCTGAGTCCAGGAGGTGATGGATGTGAGGGGTGATACCCGATTTAGCCTCTGTGGACATGGGGTACTGTTTGACCCGGACGGGGTTGGCCCCAGGTTTAAGTTCTATAAAGAGGGCCGGTCGGTGTTTAGCTAGTCCCACACCTCCTGATTCCGCCCAGGCTTCAGGGAACTGGAGAAGCCAGGACTCGATATTTTGTTCCTGAGGGGGTGCTGTTTGGTGGAGCCGATACTCATCTTCCAAACGCACCAAAAGTATTGATAATGGCAGGTTCTGAGAGTCGGTCACCGTGGGACCGCCGGGTTGGAAGTAAACGTGTGCTCCCATTTTGGTAAGCAAGTCTCTCCCCAACAAGGGGCAGGGGCTATCAGGGATGACCAGGAAAGAGTGAGTCACTTTCCCTGTGCCCAAGTCCACTGTCCGTTGAGTGGTCCAGGGGTATCTTTTAGTCCCGGTGGCTCCCCGGATCCAGGAGGACTTATCCAAAATCTTTCCATGGGGTTTGGTCAACACCGAGTGTTGGGCTCCGGTGTCAACCAGGAACTGTATGGGGTTCCCCTCCACTCGTAGGGTTACCCTGGGCTCGGGGAGGGGATCCGAACCCTGCCCCCCAGTCAGAGTTCCGGGTAAACAGAATGGGGTTGGGCTTCGGCTCCCATGGTTGCGGCCTAGCCCACGGAGGGTTTCTTTTAGGGCAATCACGTGCCCAGTGTCCCTTTTCCCTGCAATGTGCGCATTGATCTTTATCTAGGGGACGTCTGGGTTGTCGGGCTATTTGGGATTCCCTTTGAGGGGTTGACTCCTTCTGGACGAAGGTAGCCAGGACTTTGCTCATTTCCTTTGTCACTTTAAGCTGTTTATCCTCCGGGGTGTCCCGGTTGTTGTAGACCCGCTGTGCTACGCGGAGCAGATCCTGAACCTGTTTGCCTTCTAGATCCTCTAATTTTTAGAGTTCCTTTTTAATGTCAGGGGCCGCCTGGTTTACAAAGGACATAACTACTGCTGCCTGATTCTCAGGGGCTTCGGGATCCATGGGGGTGTACTGTCTAAAGGCTTCCATCAATCTCTCTAGGAATGCTGCCGGGCTCTCTGTCTTACCTTGCATCACTGCATACACTTTGGCCAAATTGGTGGGCTTGCGAGCAGCAGCCCTGAGACCCGTCATTAGAGTCTGGCGATAAATGAGCAGTCGTCCCCTACCTTCTGCCGCGTTGTAGTTCCAGTCAGGCCTGGTCAAAGGGAAACCCGCATTAATGAGGTCTGGATTGACTGCTGGCTGGCCATCGTCCCCGGGGACCAGCTTTCTCGCTTCCACCTGGATTCTCTCTCTTTCCTCGGTGGTAAACAGGATACGCAAGAGCTGCTGGCAGTCATCCCAGGTGGGCTGGTGAGTGAACATGATGCTGTCTAGGAGAGCTATAAGATCTTTCGGGTTATCTGAAAATCGCGCATTTTGAGTTTTCCAATTATACAGATCACTGGTTGAAAAGGGCCAATACTGGAGTCAGGGATTGCCAGTATCATCAGGGGGGCCAATCTCCCGGAGGGGTAAGGCAACAGTTGAGTCTGGCGGGTGGGGAGGGTTCTCCCTTTGAGAGCGCCCTCTAGTATGCCCGGCAGGCCCGTCGGTCCCTCTGTGGTCCTTCCGTGGGTGACAGGGGCTGCGGCCATTGCCTCTCGACCCTCCGCTCCTGCTTGGGGTGGAGCGGGTGTGGCCATTGGCATGGGGGCAACCTGGGGCCTCGTGGGAGGAGGTAGGTAAGGGGGTGGGTCTAAACTGAGTAAGTCTTGGCTATCAGGGAGGACAGGTGGAGGGGGCGCAGATGGGTTTCGAAGTCTGGGGGATTCCGTGGGTCGGGCTGTAAGGATCTTGCAACTTCCTGAGGACAGGAAGTGGGCCAACCAGGAAGGGGGATTTTCCACTAAATCTTGCCAGACCAGGATGTAGGGGGCTTGGTCTGGGTGTCCCTTTTTCCCAGGTAGGAGAACTTGGGCCTTGATCTTGAGGATTATGGGTAGGCAGAAGGTGCCTTCAGTGGGCCATTGCACCCCGTAGGTTGGCCATTTGGAGCGGCAAAAAGTGATGAGTCTAGATCTCCGGATATCCAGGCTCAGGTCATTGCCTCTTGCCCGAACGTCCCTGAAATTAGCCAAGAGAGGGAGAGTGGGGTACTCTGGGTTTGCCCCATTTGACCAAGTAGCTCCCAGATTAAGAAAATAGTTAAAACGAGGAGAAAGGCGCCTAGAATAGGCAGGAAGCAACAGAGGCACCGGTGCAAGGGTCGCGAGACGAACGAACAAGTGAGGAATTCGAAAGGGCGGGGTGAGGATGAACGCTCTTCAGCCCGAAGGGATGGATAATGGTCTTTGGGGGGCTGAAGGTAGGGGCTAGGCGAGTTCCATCCTTGGACAGCAGGCATAGGAATTTTTCTCCTTCGTCTGCCAGGGTGAATCTTTTTTTTTTTTTTTTTTTTTTTAAGATTTTATTTATTTGTCAGAAAGAGAGGGAGAGAGAGCAAGCACAGGCAGACAGAGTGGCAGGCAGAGGCAGAGGGAGAAGCAGGCTCCCCGCCAAGCAAGGAGCCCGATGTGGGACTCGATCCCAGGACGCCGGGATCATGACCTGAGCTGAAGGCAGCTGCTTAACCAACTGAACCACCGAGGCGTCCCTGCCAGGGTGAATCTAAAAGTGAAACAGGTTAGGAGATACGGATAATTTGGGAAAACGTTTCCTCCAACCTGGAGGAGCAAATGTTAGAGAACCAGCAATGTTTAAGACAAAACATTAAGAGACATAACATTATAATCTTATAGTTCATTTAGTCCCATGTTACTAAATCTGGTTTAGTCTGAATACAGCTTTTCGATACCAGTGTCTTTCTTCCCTCCCATCGTGCACAAAGACGCAGACAGAGGGAGAGGGATCTCTCAGGTGCTGTCCTGCTCACGTCCCTCGCAGGAACTTAGGAGCGTCTTAGCTAAGGTCTGTCCGTATAAACCCCGGACCAGGCTACTCCGTGGAGTAGATGACCGTTATGCCATATGACGCCCCGCGAGACTCAGGGTGCAGCCCACTCAGACTCCGTAGCCGAAGCGGTGGAGCCATACAGACACACTCGCACAATCAGGCACTCTTCAGATTCAAACAGGTTGGACACCCTCCCCCTTAATAGAATAAAAGCTTCACATCTACTGTTGTAACTTAGTTAACTGGCACAAGGGACACGGAACACACAATCATAATTAACAACATAACATAGAGACACACTATACTTTTGATGGCCCCCGAGGTGGGACTCGAACCCACGATCCCTGAGGCCCCTGCTGGGCAACGAGGGACGTCTCCGTCGACCCACTGGCAGCCCTATAGCGCGTCCACCAGGGACTTATTTGCCAGTCCTCGATCTGGGACTCGAACCCAGATATAGAACACAGAAAGGACAAAGCGCAAAGACAGAACACAGGAACAAAGTACAAAAGACAGAACACAGGAACAAAGCCAGCTCTCTTACCAATCGGTTTCCAGCGACCCGTTGACTAGTTGTCTGGTGGGCTTGAAAAGGGGGGGGGGGTATCCTGGACGAGCCCCCAAATGAAATGCCGGATGAGTAATACGCCCACCTTAAAAGACCACCAGAGACGTGAGTCAAAGCCAAGCGGCAAGGGTCGTTTATTGCAGGTTCGAACCTGGACCTCCGCTCACTCGTTGCCGGTGACGCTTAGAGGTCTCGAGCTGGGTAGGTGCAGGGTTTTTATAGACAGGTACAAACAAGTTCTGGGTGAGGCCGAGCCGATTGGTTGACATTTTGAACATTTGAAAAAGGCATATTTGGTGTTAGGTGATTGGTTTAGGGGGCCCGCGCGCGTGTTAAGCAAGCAGCCCGCGCGCACATTAAGCAATCAAACAGAAGCAGAACTGGTTGGTTAGCCCGCACGCGCGAAAAGCAAGCATTCGTACAGAAGTGAAACTAGCTGGTTATTCCCTAGATAGAATAGGTTTTCAGTCTGGGGTTCTTTTGGTTTCCCAAAAGCCTCTGCCTTCGGCTCAGGTCATGATCCCAGGGTCCTGGGATCAAGCCCCGCATAGGGCTCTCTGCTCAGCAGGGAGCCTGCTTCCTCCTCTCTCTCTCTCTCTCTCTGCCTGCCTCTCTGCCTACTTGTGATCTCTGTCTGTCAAATAAATAAGTAAAATCTAAAAAAAAAAAAAATAAATTAAATTAAATGGCACTATTTTCTTTCCCTCCCAAGTATGGAAACAAATGCGAGAAGGTCGGTGTTTGCCTGCCAGGAAGAGAGCTCTAACCAGGAACTGAACTGAGCAGCAGGCACCTTGATCTCAGACTTCCCAGATCTGTAGGAAATCAATTTGATCAAGCCATTCAGTCTATGGCATTTTGTTATAGTAGTCCAAGCTGACTAAAACAGGTAGTTATTCCTTAGCCAGACTGATGTGCTTGGAAGATATAATGAAAAGCTAAAAGAGATTAATCATCAATTGAAAGTTAAAAGTAAAGACTACGGTCTTGGGACGCCCAGGTGGCTCAGTTTGTTAAGCGGCTGCCTTTGGCTCAGGTCGTGATCCTAGGGTTCTGGGATCGAGTCCCACATCTGGCTCCTGGCTCAGCAGAGAGCTTGCTTCTCCCTCCCACTCTGCCTGCTGCTCTCCCTGCTTTGTACTCTCCCTCTCTGTTAAATTAATAAATAAAACCTTAAAACAAATTCTAAAAAAAAAAAAGAAAAAAAAAAGAAAGACTACAGTCTTTTCAGTAGCATACAAACTGGCTTTCATTTCCTATAGTGGGAGACTAAAGTAAGGTAAAGAGTAAACTCAGTCATAGTGGCTAAGCTACAAAGATTAAACTTCTAATCAAGACAAATATACTAAGCCAAGGTCAAGGCCCTGGTTGGGGAAAAAAAAATGGGACTTAACGCATTAGATGTGGATATTCCCAGAAGTGGCCCAAAATTTCGTACTAAGATCTATCCCTCCCACGTTGTTCTGAGATAACGCAGAGATCTCTTCCCATCAAGACAACAAATGACCTCCCTCAAAAGATTTGCTCTTGGATGTCGACTGTCCAGTAGGCCTTAATGATGTTCAGACTCAATGTTCTAGATAGGATAATAGAGGAAAGGAACTATACCCCAAAGGAACTGTAATATCGAGTCAGCATGAACGGAGATTGTATGTGTAGGATTGAACTTTGAGGGCACTTGATGAAAGGAAAGGAACATAAGGTGGATAACAGAGAAGTTATCAATGATCAAACAGAGAAGTTATCAATGATGAAAAGGAAAGGAACATAAGGCGGGTAACAGAGAAGTTAGATTTGGGTGCACTCTCCCAGTACTCAAGATTTAACATCATCATAAGAACCCCCGGAGACCATGTGACTTACTATTAGGATAGTTTCTAGAAGCATGGAAAAGGTGATGGCCCAATACAAAATGAGGTTAAAATGCCAGAGTTGCCATGGGAGACAGTGGAACAAAGAATTGAAAAGATCAGACAGTTGGTTATGCTGGAGACCATATACTATGTAAAGATGAAAAACATGCCAGATGATTCACTTAAAGAAGGTCAGGAGGCTGTACCATATGTCAAGGACATAAGAAATGTACTGTTGTGAGGGGCACCTGTCTCATTAGGAGCTTCAGTGATGACTCTCTATGGGCCAGATCTGATGGCAAAGGAAGCCATTAAAGAACTGGGTTTGCTGAGAGCAATAGGTAAAATATGACCCCAAAAATTACAGAGTCCAGATTATGGTGTTTAATGTTCAGAAGCCAAGTTAGACAATTACTGTAATATAAAGTCAGAGGAGCAATCCAAGCGAAGTGATCTACAAAGAATTATAGAGATAAATAATAGAACACGGTGTCCCTAGGGGAAACACAGATGGATATCCAAAGAGGGTACTACTACATCTGCTGATACAGTTTGTGTCTTCAGGTGAATTTAAAAAAATATATAGCCAGGAGACTGAGTCAATCACCCCGATTAACATCATGATTCCTTGCCGAGTTTCAAAACATGAATCTGTTTTTCTACCTGGAGCTTATTAACTCAAGAAGAGATCATGTCCCCGTGAGGAGGGAACCTGCAACACTATGGGAAATGTACACAGTAATGATTTCTTCAGTATTTCCCCAAAGATTATTCCAAAACATTTGTACCTAAGACCATTTACTCAGACAACTATGCACTGGGAAAATGGGGATATGTAAATATTTCAAGGACTGTGACCACAGAGTCTGAATTGACATTGATACTTAGAGACCCAAAGAATCGTCATGGTCCCCTTCTTAGAGTATGTGCATATTGAGTGTGGGGGGGGTGTCAGGTAATAAATGAAATCCTATCCGAAGTCCAGGTTACAGTAAGCCCACTGGGTTATAGACCCACGTGTGAGTTATTTCTTCTATCCTCAAATACATAATCAGAATATATATACTTCATAGATAAAACAAACCCCTCATTGCATCCTTGGCCTATGAAGTCACAGCTATGAGGAAGGCCAGATGGAAGCCTCTGAAACCTGCTCCAGCCAAGAAACAAATTAAAAAACAACAACAACAACAAAAAAAACACAACAGTATTGCTGGGGGGGGGGAATGGTGGAAATAGAGCTATTCTTAAAGAGCTTAAGGATGCAAAGGTGGTGAATCCCTATCATACCTCCACTGCTCTGGTCCCTGCAAAAACCTTTGGTTCTGGAGAAAGGCACAAGATGTGGTGTCATTGCTAGAACAGATTGACATGGACACAGGCACATGGTATGTAACCTTTAGTCTGACAAGTATGTTCTTTTCCATCTATCTCAGAAAGGAGAATCAGAAATAGTTCTCATTTACATGAAGTGGATAATAGGATACATTTACATTTCTGCCTTCCACACTTAGTAATAAGATAGTTGTCAAGAACTGGGAAAAGGTCTGAGATTTTACCCCATTCACAATCTAACAAGTTAGTCTGCCCCTTTTATGAACATTGGCAGAAGACCTAAGACTCCTGGGTCAGAGTCAGAAGATTTTATTGCTCACGGCATAGCAAGCCGCAAATGACTCACGTTTGCATTGGTTTTCCTTGTTCTGCAAGTACCACGAGGAAGATGTGGAGTGACCTAGACCGTGCATGCTGTGGGTTTATATTATGGCTGAGGCACTCCAATCTTTAACAAACAATGTTTCCAAATGTTTCCTGACTGAGACATAATCTTTATTACTCTGGTAAGTAAACAGATCTGTCTTTCATTCTGAAGAGAGACACTCTCTCCACCTCTATCTTCTAAGGCTGCTCAGTCTACAAGCATCCTTGAGAAGACGGCTCAGAACAAAAGCAGTCTGTGTCTGCTTGCAAGAGGTGCAGTAAAGGAAACGATCCATGATAAACCGTCTCCCAACACTGAGCTCTGCAGCGTCGGAAGGTACAGGTCTCCAAAGGGAACACAGCAAGACTTCCCCTGAACTATAAGCTATGGCTGCCCACCTGAGCTCTTTGTGTTCTTTCAATCCAGGAACCAGCAGGCAAAAATAGGAGTCACCATTCTGGCACGAGAAGGTTATACAACAGAGGCATGGAGGAATATGCTTGGCATTCAGGAGACTCAACTGGACACTTCTTGGTGTACCCTTCCCCAATTTTGACCAGAAATGCACAAGTGTGGCAATTTCAGCCTAAAACGGGCATAGTGACCAGGAGTTCCTCCCCTTCAAGGATGAGGGTCTAGGTCATGTCACCAAGGAAGCCACTGGGACCAGGGAGGGTGATGGCTGAGGGTAAGAGGAATCTAGAATGGACAGAGCAAGACGGAGCAAATGAGTATCAGTTATAACCCTCAGACTAGCTGCAAGACCAGGAATTGTAGTTTGTTTCATCAACCTTCTTTTTTAAAAGTTTCCCAAAGAGAAAGGGGCCCACCCTAACAATAATGTTGCTACTTCCAGAACATATATGAAGAAATATATCTGAACATAAAAAAGGGTAGACTGCAGTGGATACTGACCACAATATGCCACCCATATCTGTCTTGAGTGAAGGATCTGTTACCCTAACTCCTGGGAATGCTATGAGCTGCTTCGGAGATTGCCTCCAGTGCAGAGAGGCTTCTTTCTTCCTGGGATGGCCCATATCCAGTGACGGATCAATACCGGGGTGTAAAAAGGCCTGTCCATCTCAGTCCAATTTGGGATAACTCTGAGAGGCCATTCTAGCACAAGAACTCCCTATGACGTCACCCGAGGCTCACATTTGGCATGCATCCCATTTTATACATCCATCTATATTTTTATAGAAATTAAAAATATTCTTTGTTTTCTTTTTTTTTTTTTTAAGATTTTTTTTTTTTTTTTATTTGACAGATCACGAGTAGGCAGAGAGGCAGGCAGAGAGAGGAGGAGGCAGGCTCCCTGCTGAGCAGAGCCCGATGCGGGACTCGATCCCAGGACCCTGAGATCATGACCCGAGCCGAAGGCAGAGGCTTTAACCACTGAGCCACCCAGGCGCCCCAAAAATATTTTGTTTTCAAACAATATGCACTGACATAAAAATATCACAGCATAGTAATAAATGTTAGAAATCAATATAGAGGACTATAGGTACAGTTTGATACCAATTTTGACATTATTTGGGAGACTGTTTCTTAACAGCCTATGTACAGGGCTATGTATATATTCACACACACACATACCTATAAATACACAAAGGAAAAGACTGGGAGAAAAGATATCAAAATGTTAACAGTGGGTATTTCTGAATGCTAGAATTGCAGATCCTTCTAAACACCTTTAACACCTTTTCTGACTAAAATAAAGTAACAGACATGTACGCGGTTATTAAAGAAAGAAACTTGAAGAGAAACCACCTCTCTCACATTCCAGATGCCCAGATCCCTCTCCAGAGGAACCATTTTTACAGATTTCTTAGGTCTGACTCCAGAAATACTCTGTACCTATATATCAGCATGGAGGTTTATGATCTCCCTTTTATACTTTCTTATTTCTTATACAGATAAGAGCATACTGTTAACATTGTCCTACATCTTCCTTCTCCCCTAACAACTGGACTTGGGATTATTTATCCCTATATATCTACAGTTGGCCCTTGAATATAACACAGGTTTGAACTGTGTGGGTCCACTTACGTGTGGATTTTTTTACAGTTCAGCACTATAAATGTATTTCTCTTTCTTATGATGCTCTTTTTTTTAATGAAATTAACTCAACTTTTAATTGATTCTGAAGTTATTTTGTGGTATTAAAAATCAGAAAAAAAATAAAATGGATTTAACCTAAACGGAAGAAATGCAGGACTAATGTGGAGCAGTAGCTGCAGTTCTTCGGTTAACTCATTAAAACAAGGTCAAACATTTTCAGTCAAATTTTATTAAAAAAAAAAAAAAGGGCAGCAGATCACCATTACAATTCAAGAACCTAATCTAAATATGCACTTGACAATAAAGCACATCTGAGTATGGAGTGAAAATAGTTTTCCAAAAAAACATCCATCGTATCCTCTCTAAATATCCAAATAATCACTTCTGCAGGCCTTTTGTTGAGTGGAATCATAAAGAACTGAAGATTTATTGCTGTGAAAATAAATCTGTAATACAGTAGAATGAATCTTGGGTATTAAGCATAATCAGCTGAATCAAGTGAAGAAGTTCAAGATCTAAGAAGAAATTTGTATGTGAAAGTCTACAAGCCAGCTGACCCAAGAGCAACTGAGAGATCTAACGTGTTCAGTGAGACCAGACATTATGTTAAATCTTCATTCTCTGAAAGCAATTAAAAATTACAATTCCAACAGCCCATAAACTAAATACAAAATTGAAGAAAGCGATTAAAACTATGTTCAAAGAGCCACTTTTTTTTTTCAACTCAATTTCAGCACCCCAAGGGGGGGAAAAAAGCATCCATGACTATCACAGATGAAAATGAATGTCACTGCAATCAGTTATTTTTCCCCACTGAGGTATAAAATCTATGTAGAAATTTGATACTATACTACAACAAATTGTACTTCTGATACTTCTGTTTTAATTTCCTTTAAACCCTGTTTAATATAGTTTCTTCTTAAATCGTAAAAATGTTGTTTTCCGGATTCTGAAACTGGTTCCAGTTCTTTTTCACTTATTTTTACATCAATATTTAATATACTGGTTACCAGGTCTAATCAGAAAAAAAATCTTGGAAATCTCTTCATTAGGATCGCACGTTCAGCAGCAGTTACTGACGTGCAAGCAAACCGTATGAGGGGCAGCTCCGGAAAGCACATTGTGTTGACTGCATCATTGTCTGAATATTCTTTACCATGATTCTTGATGACTCTTATGACTCTTCCAATCTTGTAAACATCAGTGTGCACAGTCTCGCTACTATGTAGTTTCACGTCCTTTGGACAAGAAGGCTGGTTCACAGCTAGTGAAAAGCGAGAAGAGTCTTAGTTTTAATGGCTGATAAACCTTACATCCCCGGAGGAGGAAAGCACTTTTCCTTTTTTGCTATTTAAGAATGTGGCAGAAATGTATGCTGAGGTAGCCCAATCCTTTATTTTTTTATTTTTTTCTTTTCTTTTCTTTCTTTCTTTTTTTTTTTTGTAAACTTGGTCTCAGAATATTTCTGGAAGGGTGACATTTCGAAGAAGCCACTGCTGGGACCGGCTTCCATTGCAGTCTCTTATGCTGGGCACCTGGCTATCCTCTTCTGTGGCTTCATCCAGGCACTGGTTACTGTTCACATGCTGCAGGGTTAATTTCACTGGATCATACTCCTAAAGTTGGTTGCCTTTTAGGTGGTGGCATTTGAGCATTGTGACTGGGCCATTAAGTTTAGAGACATCCAAGCAAAGGTCATCTGTTCTAATTTCTTTGTTGGCAGTATAAGAGAAAACCTGGTTACCTCCCATACCATGACAGTTAAAAATTCCAACTTTTTCATTCTCTTTTCTGGCCATGTTATCTAGACACAGATTTGTTTCCACATTTCGTATCTCTCCCAAAGAGAAATAGTGACGTGGAATCTGGTAATCAGGATAAATATTCTCTAGGTACCAGGAGAAAGGTTTGCATTGTTGTTTGTGTCTTAAACCAAGTCTTGATGATATATCTCCATAATCTACCTTTGTAACACCTGGAGAAATTATATAGAAGAAATTCTTGAACTCATCCATCCACACTTCTGCAAGTCGTCTGTTATTTTTATTGATAATCTGTCCTGTGCCTCCTGGAAACGTGTAAGGTGTGGCTTTCCGAAACACGCGTCCAACATGTGAGCAGGTGACGATCTCTAAAGTCCCTCCACATTGCCAGATCCTAAAGGAAATTTCTAGGTTTTCTCCTCCCCAAATATCCATTCCGGCATCGTATGTTCCAATTTCCTGAAAGTAATCTCGGTCTATTGAAAAAAGGCCTCCTGCCATTGTAGGTGTTCTGACAGGAACAGTCTGATCACCTTTCCTTCGGTCCGTCTCTCTTTGGGGAACTGGATACCAGCGGAAATTAAGCTTCCAGTTGAAGCCACCACAGGTCATATCAGAGCCTGCCATGTACTCAAAAGTATCATCACTGATCACATCAGTGATAGGACAGACCACTGTTTTCCCGTCATGTTTGATTCTGGCTAAGACAGGCTCCAGCCATCCCAGTGTACATTCACAGTGAGCATCTAAGAAGGTGATCACTTGGCCTTTAGACACAGCAGCTCCTTTTAAGCTAGCTCTGATCAAGCCAGAACGTTGTTCCATTCGAATTACATGAACTGGTACTTTTAATTTTTTCATGTAACTCTCCAGAGGTCTTTTTAAAAAGTCTCTTTCACTGGCATCATCTACTAGAACAATTTCTTCTAGCATGTGTCTTGGTGAGCGATTAATGACACTCTGGACAGTTCGCAGAAGTGTGCTCCAAGCCTCGTCGTCGTGGAAAACAATCACCACACTGGTTGTAGGAAGATTATCTGGATACGCCTTTGTTTTACACCCTTCTAACCTGACATCTGGTAAAGATCTGTTGAGTGCCATCATCTCACTCGCCATTAAACTGAACTGATTGATTTTAAACATCTCTTTCATCTTCTCTGGATCCTCTTTAGGAATGATGACTGGTTTCCCTATTTCTCCAGGACCTTCATGAGGCTTTTGTATTGGCTCTAGAACATCCCCAGCAGGAAGTCCTCGCTCCTTTCTTTCATCATATTGGTTGCATTCACTGAAGTAAAGCAGCAGGAACATATCCAAGAGTACCCAAATCAAGGAGGTGGCTAGGACCACCTTGCCATATGCAAATTTTCTCATGGCACTTAAGTCAAATGCAAAATTTTAAAATATGTATATATAAATATACAAAGGTCATGAAAATTATTCCAATCCAGTTTCATCAGAAATCACGTTCATAACCCCAAAGTGGTTTTTCAAATGAATTTATATCCCAAATCCACATGTCCCACATTTCCTCGCTCCGCGCAGCGGCGACAGCAGCAGCGGCGGGAGCTCCTCGGGGCTGGCCCAGGCGGTCGCGGCGCGGTCCCGCGGGCCGCAGCGCTGGGCGCGCTACTCTCTGGCCGCCGTCCGCCGCGCCGCCTCCTCGGCCACTGCCGGCGGCTGCCCATGATTTTCTTAATAACATTTTCTTTAGCTTACCTTATTGTAAGAATACAGTATATAATATATAGAGAATACACACTATGTGTTACGTTCACATGATCAGTCAGGCTTCCAGTTGGCAGCCGGCTATTGAGAGTTAAGTTAGGGAGAGTCAAAATTTACATAGGAATTTTTGACAGCAGGGGAGGTCATACGCCCAACCCCTATGCTGTTCAAGGGTCAACTGTACTCTCTTTCTAACGGCTGAATAGAATTTCATTGTATGGATGTACCATGTAGACATTTAGGTTGTTTTTAGTCTTTTACTGTCATAACATTATTATAGATCCACCTTTTCAAGCACGGGGGGTACACTTGCGGGGTAAATAGAATTGCTGGATCAAAAGTTACATGTATTTTAAATGTGTCATTATTTTTAACTGCCCTTCAAGGAGAGAGTACCAATTTATATCTACAAGCTACAAAAACAAAACAAAACTGGATAAAAAACTAAAAATGCATGAGATTTCATTTTTCCTAAAAATTGAACCATATGATATAGAAAACAAAAACACTAAAAGAATCTACACAAAAATGTTAACAGTAGATTTCTCAATGTAATAGAATTACAGGTGAATTTTATTTTCTTCTCTATCTTTTTGTGCCTTTTCCAAATTTTCTAGAGCAAACAGACTATTATAATAAAAAAGAAAATAAACGTGTCTTAAAAAACAAATATTGAGTGTTTATACATTTTGATGTATTCATTTCTAGAAACTGCATAATGTTGCATTTTGTATTTACCTCCAAGGGTTCAAAATAATTGCATTTATTATAACATATGAAAAATAGGATGACTTATTAAAACACTAATATTAAAATTTAACTAAGGAAAGAGTTATTAAAATAATTATATCTAATTTTCACTACTGAAAATATTCTTTTAACGTAGGGCTAAAGCACTGACTTTTATTTTGTTTTAAAGATTTTGTTTATTTATTTGAGAGAGGGAGAGTATGTGAGCTTTGGGTGGGGGCAGGAGAGCAAAGCAGACTCCCTGTCCAGCTAAGAAATCAGAGAAATCAGGACTTTCACATTCTTTCTCTCTCTCTCTCTCTTTTTTTTTTTTTTATTTAAAGGGGCAAGAACCAAAGTAAGTACAATCTATTTAATGGTGTAATTAACTATCTTAAAAATAAAATGTCCCTTAAATTTACATATGAGACAACCATATTACTTCAAAACATTGGATCTAAATATTCCTCTGGGAAATGTGCTTCCTTGCAGCTAGGTGAAAGCCACTCAAGAGTATGCAAAATGTCAAAATCCCAAGATCGTAATGAAAATACTATTTTGAGGACAGGAAACGGGAAGGACAAACGACAGAGGGAAAAAAAAGTCTTATTTCTTATTGTGTTTCTGCAATCTCCATCCTGTGTGGGTAGAGCCTCTGTTTAGAAAATGGGCTCACAGGGGTACCTGGGGGGCTCAGTCAGTTAACAGTCTGTCCTCAGCAGACGTCCTGATCCCAGGATACTGGCACAGAGCCCCCCTTGGGCTCCTTGCTCAGTGGGGAGTCTGCTTCTCCTGCTCCCTCTGCCTGTTGTTCCCCCTGCTTTGCAACTCTTTCTCTCCCTCTCTCTCTTTCTCAGATAAATAAAATCTTTAAAACAAATAACAAAATAAATAAAACGGCCTGACAGACCACTTGGGAGAGGGGAAAGCATAAGTAAATGTCGCCAAATAAACGGACTTGTTCAGCTACAGAGTGGTGAGCTGGAGCAAAGGCGGTGAGAAATAAAAGAGGGGGAAAGGAAGATAAAATCTGTGTTCTAAAATCCTGCTGCTTAAGTGTAACTATTTTAAGAACAAAATTTGAGTAGCATTTAGAAATGTTCCACAATGTTAAAAAATAATATTGGGGCGCCTGGGTGGCTCATTGGGTTAAAGCCTCTGCCTTTGGCTCAGGTCATGATCTCAGGGTCATGAGACAGAGCCCCCCATTCAGGCTCCACACTCAGCACAGAGTCTGCTTCCTCCTCTCCCTCTGCACTCCCCTCCGCTCGCTCTCACTCTCTTAAATAAATAAATAAAATATGTTAAAAACCAGAAAACAACAGTGGGCCTCAATTAACTAAGACCCATAAGCTATCATCTCCTCTCAAGGGAAGCTACTGGTATTGTCTTCCAGCTTCACCTAACAGCCAACTACTTCACAAGGATTAATAGGATCTAAGATCGACTTTCTCTGTTGCAAGGAGTCCCTGAATAGTCTGGGCAAGACCTCACTGAAAAGGAATCAACATTTTCGACAGAGTGAATAAGAAGGAGAAGCCGATCAGAGACTTCCCGGGGTACAGTGTCGCATATCTGACTTAAACAAACGATAAAAAAAAAAGTTAGCATAGGATAGAATACTGGGGTGCCATGGATATGAATAACGCTACCATACTTCAGAAAAAATTAAACATTTAAGAACATGTATTCTGAATATATTCTCCCAGTCTGTCATGCCTGTTAATTTTCTTAGTGTATCTATTTTTCTGTTGTAATGAGTGTTTCCGGTGTTCTGTATATGAAAGATTTACCTACCTCAAGGTTGTCAAGATATTCTCCCATGTTTTCATGCAAATGCCTTCTGGTTCTAGCTTTTTTTCTTTTTAAATATTTATTTGAGGGGGGAGAGAGCACACATAGGGGGCAGGGTACAGGGAAAGAATCTCAAGCAGACACCCTGCTGAGCATGGAGCCCGACACAGGGCATGACACTGGCCTTGATCTCGTGACCCTGGTATCACGACCTGAGTCCAAAATCAAAAGCTGGACTCTTAAGAGACTGGCTCACCCAGGTGCCCCTGGTTTTAGTTTTTATAGTTAGTTTTTATAGTTTTTATAATCCATCCCAAATTAAGGTGTGTGCTCAGAATCAGGGAGGGGTCAAGGTCCGTATTGTTTCCGCCTGAGTATCGTGCAGAATTATTCTTTAAAAAGACTTCCCTTTCCCCCACTTAACTGACTTAATACTCTGGGCAAAAATCAATTGACAACACTCGCTGTGCTTGCTCTATTTTTGGACTCGATTCTGTTAAACTGATTTAACTTTACGCCAAAGACTTTGATAACTGTGACTTTACTGTCAGTCTTAAAATTCAGCAAGAATACGCAGTGTAAGTTCTTCAACTATGTTCTTTTTTGAATTTTTTGGCTACTCCAGACCCTTCGTCTCTCCATACACATTTCAGAATCAACTTCTTCATTTCTTCAAAGGAAAAAAAAAAAAAAAAGGCCAGGATTTTGACGGGGACTGCACTGTTTGCAAGAATCAAGCTGTGAAAGACAGAAATCTCGACAACATCAAATCCTCTGATGCATGAACAAAGCATATCTCCCAATTATTCCGGTCTTCGTGAATTCCTCTCAACAATGTTTTATACTTTTCTGTATAAAGGTGTTTCTTGTCTTCCATGGGATTCATTCCTATCTAGTTTCCTTATTTTTTTGTTTTTTGTTTTGTATGTAGGCTGCACACCCAGCATGGAGCCCAAAAAGGGGCTTGAACTTACGACCTTGAGTTCCACGCCCGAGATGAAATCAAAACTCAGATGCTTCAACGACTGAGCCACCCAGTCACCCCAACAAGTTGATGTCTTAGATGCTCCTGTAAAATATTTTAAATTTTCATTTTCCTATCCGTATAGATTTACAATGCATCTACCTGACAAAGAATTCCTGTCCAGAATATATAACAAACTCCAGTAAGTCAAAGCCAAAAACATTAACAACAAAAATGGCCAAAAGACATGAACAGTTCACAAGAGATGTGGGAATGCCCAATAAACACATGAAAAGGCACCTAAGATCATTCATGACCACACTACTTCATCCTCAGACAACACAGAATGTTAACGAGGATGCTGAGCAACTGGAGTGTCACTAGATTGCTGGTGGGAAGTGTAAACTGATCAACCACTTTGGAACTAGGCTAGTACTTCAATATATCCCCACCCTGTGACTAAGCAATCCCATTAACAATTTTTTCTTTTTTTTTTTTTTAACAATTTTTATTTATTTATTTACTTATTGGACAGAGAGAGAGAGAGAGATCATAAGCAGACAGAGAGGCAGGCAGGGGGTGGGGAGCAGACTCCCTGCTGAGGACAGAGCCCCATGCAGGGCTCCATCCCAGGACCCTGAGATCATGACCTGAGCCGAAGGCAGAGGCTTAACCCACTGAGCCACCCAGGCGCCCCACCCCACTAACAATTTCAGGAGAAATTTAAGACTTCTGTAAGAATGTTTATTGTAGCCTATTCACAATGACCAAAAACTTGGATACAACGAAATGTCTAATCATCAGATGGACAGATGAACGAATCGTGGTATATGTGCACTACATACAAAGGAGGAAACTACTTTACACTGACGAAGACTCTTTCCTTGACCAAACTCTAGCCAGACTGCTCTGAGCCCTCTTCTCAAGCCTGGCTCATCATATACAAACTCGAACAAACGTTAACATAGTTTCTAACAGCACCAGGTCCCAACCCTGTGACAACACCAGTCCCCCTTAGAGCCTGCCTGAGGAAACTCAAGGCATCTACTGTTTGTTCAATCAACACTGAAAAGTCAGGCCCTTGTCTCCCAGTGAGCAAATACAAGTGGTTTCATATGGACCAATACCTATTCTACTTTTTGCAATGTGTTACTTCTCTGACCTTATTTGTCCCTGGCCTTACTTCTTCATTCTCTCCTCAAAATGCCTTCTTACAAATCGAGGTGGAGTTTCATTCACGCGGGACTCTCTTTCTGATTGCTACAGTTATTATTGATTAAAGTCCCGTCTCTTCACTTTAACCAGGATCAGGCTTTCTTTATCTTTGGTAAGTGCACACAACATAGATAAATCTCAAAGAACGCGCGGAGTGAAAGAAGACAAAGGAATTACATATGACAAGATTGCATTCACACGTTGTTCAAGACCGGGCAAATTTAACCTACCATAGATCCTGAAATCAGAACATGACCAGCGGCGGTAAGGAGACTAACTACAAAGAGCTACGAGGGTAACTTTTGGAGCTTCAGATACACTTTATGTCTTGTCTTTGGGGCTGGGACACAGATACACAGTTGACCCTTCAACAACACAGTGGCTAGGGGTATCCATTCCCATGCAGTCAAAAATCGGCATGTAAATTCCATCTCCCCCCCAAATTTCACTACTACTTGCCTACTGTGGAGCAGAAGCACTACCGGTAATAGAAACAGTTGATTAAAGGTCTTTTGTACGGTATACGTATTATACATTGTATTCCCTCACTAAAATACGCTAAAGAAAATACTCAGAAAATCATGAAGAAAATACATTTGCATTACTGTACTACGTATACCGGAAAATCTGAGCTGACGTCAATACTCACGCGCATATAAGTGGACTCATGCAATTCAAATCCATGTTGTTCAAGAGCCGACTGTGTACATTTCTTAAAGCTCA